ATTTTAGTTACTGCTATGACTATTAAAAAATACCAATTAATTTTGCAGACGTTGCGAAAGTTATTGCATGGAAGACTATGCAAAAACATATTCTAGTTTCCTAAGCAAGGAGATTCTAATTTAACAAAGCTGATAATGTAAAAAAAAAGTACACATATGTATGTAAATTCGTAAATATGTATGTATGTGTAGTGTTTATTTGTGACATTTTTATAAAACAACTTAAATGGTATTAGAATGTTCGACTTTGGACTAAAATAAGTCGCCCTTAAAAAGTTGCATCTATTATTAGGGCATATTAAACCCCGCCTATGGCTATCTAATCGTTAAAAAATTGTTTGGGAACCAAATGAAATATTGCTTTAAAGACAAAATGGCCAACTTATCTGGAGAAGTTGTTTTATTAAAACACTACAGTATACATATCGACACCTATTCGCGATTTTATCTTAAGCGACAAAAATACGACAGTTTTTGTTTTTAACTCTCCCTTAAACAGTGCAACAATTTTTATGGATTTTATTGTTTAAAGGTAAAATGGCGCTTATGATATTTTTCCTGAACATGTCGAGGTAAGTTATAAAAAAATTGGCGCTTGCGATAGCTTTTATGTTGTATAATCGGTACTTTAAGGATAGTTTGAAAAATTTAATTTTAAATCAATTAAATATAAACACTGCCAATCAGCAGTATAAGCTGAACATATTTAAAGCTCATTCAATTCTCTAACAAATGTCTAAAATGATGAGGTAAGGAAGCTGATTTTGAAGCATTCAGTTGTAGCATCTGCCGATGGAACTTCGGTTAAAACTAAAGTTCTGTACACGCAGTGTCGCTTACGATTTATTTTATTTTAGGAACGAAAAAGTATAAACAGCAAACGATAAAATTCATTTTGCTTTTTTTACGTAACGGTACATATTCAAAGCCTGTAGGACGTTGTAACTAGTATTTGTAACGTGGCGGCTCGTCACTTTTGGCAATTAAGAAATACATTAGTGCCACATATAAGTGCGATGCTCAAAAATTGGCACCATTCATCAAGCGTTATTTGAAATCTGACGTTTCCAGTGGAAAATTTATCCAAACCAAAGGAAAAGGTGCGTCTGGTTCATTCAAATTATCAGCTTCGGCCTCAAAATCCAGTGAGGGAAAAGTAAAGCCAAAAGCAGAGAAGGCCAAAAAGAAGACGGCTACTGGTGCAGCATCAAATAAAAAGGCTAAGTGGTGCCAAAAAGGCGGCTGGTGAGAAAAAGGTGAAGAAAGCCGTCGCTAGCAAGAAAACAGCTGAAAAGAAGAAAAGTGAAAAAGCCAAGGCGAAAGATGCAAAAAAGACTGGTGCAGTGAAAGCAAAGCCAGCCAAAGCTAAATCAGCTGCCGCCAAACCAAAGGCAGCAAAAGCAAAATCGGCCGCTGCCAAGCCAAAGAAAGCTGCCGCTAGTAAAAAACCAGCTGCAAAAAAAGCAACAGCTGCTAAGAAGTAAATTTGTTTACGGAATCCATATTCTTGNAAAAGATCAAAAAATACTTTGTGTACACAATCAGATATATACATATCTGCAAAAAAATTTTATCTAATGCACATATGTAAGTAAATAAATTAACATATGTAGGAAG